CTACCAGTATGGAGGTTTCAATTTGATCTGAACAATTTCACAGTGCTCATTTTAACCTGCGGGCCTCACTGTTACTTGCTCTACAAGGTTATCTCTACCAGGTGCTAGGAACACAGACCGGGGGTTCAACTATTCCTACCAACACGCTGCTGCGCCAAACACGTACCTCTGGAAAAGGCGACACAATATTTACGTTCAGCCTGGATGGCTTTGGCACGCGATCCAAGGGTCAGAATCATAACAAACAATTGAGCATTTTGTGCCAATCGTTGTTGCGATTTCGCTACCGCGTGATGTTCGCCGAGCCGTTGGCTCGCCCCCCCCCCCCAGCACCATTGCCGCTGATCTGTTTCTGTTGCTCCCCCCCCCCCCCACCGAGCCGCAGAGGTTCCCCGTCTCGACCACGTGCGAGTCCGAGGTGACGGCCGCTCTCGTTGCGACCTCGGTGCATCGGCCCCGAGCCCCGAGACCCTGGCTCCGCGTTGGGTGTGCGGGCTGAGATATATTTTTGTACCTCTCTGCTTGCACTCCCCATGTCCGTTCCGCTCTATTTTGCTCCCCGTACACACCGGAGGGGGGTTGGGGGGGGGGAGCGGCCGTCAGTGCACCGCGCTCATGAACCCGATCACCTCGGTTTGATTCGTGTCCACGGCTAACATGAGTGACGAGTGACAACTGATGTCGGTCCTGTGTCTCCTCCCCCACGCCTCCTCATCCCCATTCATGAATGCGAGCAGCGAGGCGATGCTCAAACGAGACCCCCACGACCGGCACGGCGTGCGGAAGCCATCATCCAGCAGTGGATTGCCATTGAGAAGTCAATTTGCCCTGCGGCCAGACAGACGGGACATTTCACGATCTTAATTCTGTTGTGATTGCAAACACGCTTGTGCCTTCAGCTGTGCCTTCTGCCTGTACCCACTGTATATCTCATGTATCGGGAGTGCTTTTATTACCATTGGCGAGAATGCACTGACTTTAAACCGTGACACGCCACTACATAACAGAGGACGCATTTGCCTTTGCACTTAATAAAGTGATAATAAAAAATACCATCCGTGCGGTGTTGTTGAGAACATACTTCAGCAGGCTGCTCGGCATGGGTCAGTGATGCGGCGGGGGTTGGGGTGGGTGCCAAGATCGGTCCGTACATCAATCACCACCGACGTTCTGAGTGGCTTGTCACCATGTTGCAGGTAACTGGCTTCATAGCGCAGTGCAAAGACCACTGCGCCACGCCTCCACCTCTCACTCACTCTCTCTCCCCTTCCCAAACATTAAAACATGTTTTTTGTTTTATTTAAATACCCAAACATAGTTACATTTCAGTGCACGTGACTGGGGGGAGGGGGGGGGGGGTCTTACGCTTTGAGGATGGGATCTCAATGACAGAAGATGTAAATAAAAGTAGATATTGTTATAAATAAAAGTAGATATTGTTATTGGCTGTGGACCACACTTGATTTGAAGCTTTCGAGACTGCAGGAAGCATTCTTTGTTTTTTTCGGCAAAGTCACGAAGAAAGAAACTAAATTAAATAATAATAGAAGACGACGTTTCGATTGCAACACAAGCAGCCATCATCGGGTACAAATGAATCAGAAATCAAACATCGTAAACTTGGAAATATAATGCAATACAACACAAGCCGACTCTCTGTGTTGTATTGCATTATATTTCCAAGTTTACGATGTTTGATTTCTCATTCATTTGTACCTGATGATGGTTGCTTGCGTTGGCTGTGTACCCTTGTGTACGTTTGCAGTGTGCTACAGTGGAAAAAAACAGCGCTGTTTGCGGAGATTGAATTTGTTCGTTGTAGCAGGGCAAGCTTCGAGAAGCCTCTTGGCAGACATTAATCACCTGGCATGCCGGGCAGCTGTCGGCACGCTTAACAGCGTAACGTCACCTGTGCAGTTGATGTCCAGACACGCCGAACGGTGGTAGTCTAAGCACTCTGGACACACGCAGGCGCTTACAACGCGAGGGTACATACAACGTATCAATTCTTAGAATTACGTTCATAGGCATAAATGTATGTATGTTGAACGTCTTTCGCACCGTGCGTAGCCAAGCGTGCTAATCGGAGGTGCGGGGAAAGGACAACAAACGAAACGCAAAAAGCAGTTTTAAAGGAATGAGTTTTCAATGTAGATTATTTAAAAGTGCAAACCTCCAGTGGCTTCCTCATATCGTAAGGAAGAGCGTTCCAGACGGCCACAGAAGTGCATCTGACAGCGCTGCGAGGATGACCGGGGTTCACGTGGTGATGGATCCTTGACGAGATCAGTAAGGTGTTGTGGTTTATTTGTGATAAAAAAAAAACTTTGCGTGTAATGAGTACTATCTTATAAACGTACGTGGTACATGATGCTTGTATAATCATCATTATTACTACATCGTGTGCAGAGTAATTTACAGAATTGTGTTAGTCGACTGCTGGATGAAGGCCCCTCTGTGCCACGTCGGTCACGGGGGGTTGTTCGAGCGAACCTCACACAGCACTTGTCATTCTGGGTTGATGAGGCGGGGGATCAGGACCGGTTTAGCTTTCACTCGCTTCTGATGTTAGCCGTGAATTTGCTCGCTCGGTGCTAACCACTGCTCAGCAGCTCCACCCCGAAATACGGCACGAAAAAAAAACAACCCACCCGTTTTTAATTGCGCAGTCGTATATGACTAAACTATGATGCATCCAGACGTTGGTGAGAGGTACGCACCTGCTTATGTAAGACCAGGGGAATGTGAGAGATGGCGGCAGCTTGATAAGCCCTTTATCCAGCAATGAATTGGCCACGGCTGATGATGATGATGAACGCTTGGCTATGCACCGGAGGTGCGGGGGAAGGACAACAAACGAACACACACCAAGACATGAAGGTGGCAGACGCAATAGCGATTACTCCACACGTAACATATGGAGCTGCTTCTGTTGGAATATTGCCACAAGTTGCAATTTAATTACGGGTTTTTCAACAAATCAATTAGCTGGCACCGATTGCAAGACAGGTCCGACCGCAGAGAGCGTGTCTCGGCGTGCGATCGCTGTTTGTGGCGCACCCTGTGTGTGTGTGTGGGCACAGCCGACGGTGACATGTGTAGGGGCACCCTGTGTGTGTGTGGGCACAGCCGACGGTGACATGTGTAGGCCCACCCTGTGTGTGTGTGTGGGCACAGCCGACGGTGACATGTGTAGGGGCACCCTGTGTGTGTGTGGGCACAGCCGACGGTGACATGTGTAGGCCCACCCTGTGTGTGTGTGTGGGCACAGCCGACGGTGACATGTGTAGGCCCACCCTGTGTGTGTGTGTGGGCACAGCCGACGGTGACATGTGTAGGCCCACCCTGTGTGTGTGTGTGTGTGGGCACAGCCGACGGTGACATGTGTAGGCGCACCCTGTGTGTGTGTGTGGGCACAGCCGACGGTGACATGTGTAGACGCACCCTGTGTGTGTGTGTGTGGGCACAGCCGACGGTGACATGTGTAGGCCCACCCTGTGTGTGTGTGTGGGCACAGCCGACGGTGACATGTGTAGGGGCACCCTGTGTGTGTGTGTGGGCACAGCCGACGGTGACATGTGTAGGCGCACCCTGTGTGTGTGTGTGGGGGCACAGCCGACGGTGACATGTGTAGGCCCACCCTGTGTGTGTGTGTGGGCACAGCCGACGGTGACATGCGTAGGCCCACCCTGTGTGTGTGTGTGGGCACAGCCGACGGTGACATGTGTAGGCCCACCCTGTGTGTGTGTGGGGGCACAGCCGATCGGTGATACCCTCAACTGGCGCTCACCCACGTGAGCGGGATGAATTGTGGTGGTGGTGATGACTACGAATCGCGGCTGCTGTTGCTGCCCCACGTGCGTTTCGCATTGGTAAGCGATGAACGATCGTCGACGTGGCTGAAGCGATTTATTTTTTGCTGGAAACAATAAATCTATCGATATTAACGTCGTGGCCAGCCAGCTCCTCGGGGCCTCCGAATCGCGGGGTTAGCGACTGGCAGCGCAGCGGTGTAAGCTACACGTCGAGCTCGTCTACATTTATTACATTACTTGTCGGTCACAATCGGAGGATTTTGCTTTCGGGGTTAAAGGGGTGAAAAGGCGCCACCCTGCAACTTCGTGCCCATGCCGCGGCTGCTGGAAGGGCCTCGGATGAGATCTGAGAGCCTCACTGTTCGGGTTTTTGGCCTACGCCTCCACACCGGCCAGAGACGCCACCACGCGTGACCTGACCGCAGGACTTGTCGTGCCTTCGGGGCACCCAATACGTTATTCGTGCGATTTGCGCTGCGAAATTCGCTCTGTGTGCACTAATGGCAGTGCGTAGCTGACCTTTGTGGGACCATTCCGACTCATCGCCGGCTCATTTTGAAGAACGCACTTTTGTAATTCGCGTTGCTAAATCGCGTACGAACGAGTCACGCGTGTCGATATAATTATTCGTCAAAGACTGCACGTACACTTAAAAGGAAGCAAACACGCAAAGAAAAAGAATCGTAGACGTTATTGTTTCCCACTAAATATATAAATAAGCTCGGCCGAAACATATTGTGCAGCGCTATTCCATTGTCCCAAACTTGTTTTTTTCTTTCATGGACGAGGTTGTGAAACGCCGGCTCACGCCGTCAGCTTAAGGTCTCTGGAGATGAGACGCTGGCTGTATTAGCGGTTTGGTCAGCCCCCATTGTTCGGCTGCCAAGCAATACACCCGCAGAGCGAGGAGTTTTCTCAAAATCGGCAAAACCAGGTGCGTGCCCGACAATCAATGTCACGGCCACCCCCGCTCTGAACCCAGCGAGGTCTCCTGGCTGATAGAATGCGCGCGGATGAAAAAAAAACCACGGTCGCTATAAAGTCTAGAAACTATAAAACTAGAAACTATATTTTTTTACCAGGTAAGGCACCACTGAGCTTATATAACTTTTTTTTCAGACGCCACCCGGCCATCACAAATGATAACTCGACGAAGTGGCGCAGCTGTGCACGGCACCAGCGCCACGCATCGAGCGCCGGCAGATATTTCTGCGCGTCCGTTTGCGAGATAATTGTGGAGAAATGAAAGAGGACACGGCGGTCGTGCCTTTGGTGGTTTGAGTTGGTAAGCAACAGAGTGTGCAGACGTATAGCCCAGAGAGAGGTAAGAGGGGGGTGCAGTAAATGACAGACGCGTCGAACCGGACGGACGAGATGTTTGTGCTGTTGTATCTGCAAAATCTTTGCAGGGCTCCCATTGGTTTCGGCAGCAGCAGCAGCGGAGCTCAGCGCTGCAATGGAGCTATGGCCACGATGGTCCGCATAGCGCCCACCTCCACGGCTGCAACTCAATGGAGCACTTGGTCAGAGCACTCGGCTTCACTGATGATCCCCCCCACCACCACCAAACCTGTGGCGAAAATTCCACGTTCCTGTGACGCGGATCAGAGACTCCATACAGCAACCCCGGTTGAGTAAAGCTGTGAGAATAATTGGCAAATAATTTGAGTTAAATGTGACTTTGGAAACGACACCTGGTGGATGTACAATGAGGGAACCATTGCTTTTAATCATGTGTTTCTATCCCCAATGCATATGAAATATATACGTTATTATAACCGTCAGGGTTTTTACCTGTGATGATATGTTTTACGAAATATCTTGTGTGTGCACTATACTCTGATGTTAATGTATTTCTTTAACACATTTCTAATTCTTTAGAAAGTCCCTGCGCAGTGGGGTTACACAAACTCTAAACAATACGTCACCATTTGGCGATGCCTATCCAGATTGCAAGCCGTCCCAGGAGGATCGTTGCATGTGCATTTATTATTAATATTATTGTTGTTATTACTCTTAGTTCTTTCGGTAAAGTCACGTAGGTAAAAAATGAAACGTCGTGATTTTATTGTTTTATTTTTATTAATTTCAATTTCATTTTTTACCTACGTGACTTTACCGAAAGAACTAAAAGTATGAATCCTTGCAGTCACGAAAGCTTCAAATCTAGAATGATTGTTGTTATTGTTGTTGTTGTGCTTGTTTAACCAGGAAAACCTCACTGCGTCCGAAAATTCAATTTCAGAGGGGTCTTGTCAGATTTTTGCAATCCGGGTGATGTAAGCTATGGGCAATCCCAAATTGAGTAATTGTCATTATAAGTTAGTTGCATTATAGGGTTTGTTTTAACTTTGGGAGGAAACTGGATGCAGTAGGGGGTGAGAGAAAATACAAACTACACGTATCGAACCCAGGCCGCGAGTAGCACCACTGAGCTAACCTGCCGCGCAACATTTACCAATTTTTGATGCGTCACTAACGCAGGTCTGGAATCTTCCAGCGTGGTGGCCGGGGACGATGTTATTCGTACACAGTTTCATGGGCCCTATCTGATTTCCCACGCGTGTTTTGTTCGTCTTCTTGCCGCGAACTGTATGAGAACAGCGCCAGTGGCGTTAACATCTTAAATATTGTGCCGCCCCCTTCAGATGTCAACGCGAATGCTGGTACAATAAACCCAGTGCCATCCGTCCGTCAGCTGCAGAAACATTCGTGTAGGGGCAGGACCCCACGTGTTTTCCTCACTGGGCTTAGATAAGCAATCTGGCAGAGGTGTGTCTGAGAGCGAGCAAGAGTGTGGCCCAGCATTCTCTGGGTGGCTTATCCAGTTGTTTTCCACTTCAGGTGCCTTCACTGCAGGCTTAAAACGCACGCCCGCTGCAATACGCTGCCGGGATAACATCGCGGATTTGCTATTGGTGGGTTTACATATTGACAAAATAACTATTTAAGCGATTGTACATCCCCGGCATTCCCTCCGCACACACACTCGTCCTTCTCTCTCGTACCATAGCCGCTGCTTATCAGTGAGGGCATCAGTATTTCTATAGGGTGGGTCGTCTGGGACATTGTTAAGTGGTGACCGGTGACCCCCCTGAACTATAAGGAATGCTGCTAATGTCTCTGTAGTAAACGCCATGCCTTGTCAGCGATCTTTACTGCGCAGCAGACAATTAGGGCTTCGCATCTTGGCTCGCCTTTGTGTGAGCTTTAACATTCGTGTTTGTTTTGATGGAATCTACAAAACATGGTGTTTGCATATACTATATATATACACACATCTCGCCGCCGCGGTGGCGACTTGTTAACTACTCGGCTGGCTTACAGGAGGTCGTGCCTTCAATCCCGACCCTGACGTCTGTTGTATGTTCTGTCCATACAGCAGCCCCGGTCGCGTGGATTTTATAAACATGCGTTTAAAGTATTTGGCTGCAAGACCTTTCCACGTGATAAGCCACTTTGTTGAACCATCATTTGAGGCCGAGTCACTTCTGAAAAAGGAGCTCAGTGGGCCTTATCTGGTAATGTAAACATAGTCGTAGCAGGACTGCGAAACACAATTTCGATTCGAAAATAAAACGTACAAAATACACGTATTGATCCTTCTGGGAAAACATTACACATTTTACGAATGCTAAATGACTGTTATTACATTTTGGGCCATAGCTTTTCTGAGCAGGTGATGTCATGGGAAGGCAAGGGAGTGCCTCGTCTGTAGAAGGGGATTAGACTCTATTCAAAAGTTCAGCGCAGTAATTGAAATGCCATCGCTCAAAATATATAATGTGGCGGTTCCGTGAATGGCAGCTACGCATTGCGTTACAAGAGCACCAGCACACTTACATTGCACACACACACACCACGTCGTGCCGTACATTAGAACTCTGCTGGATGACTGCCACCCTGTGCCACGTTGCTTATGAAGTTGTTAGACCCATACTTCACCACGCAAGTCAATACGAGTTGGTCAAGGGGTGGGGCGGGTGTGGAACCAGGAACTGTTGAGATGTCACTCGCCACTGATGTTAGCAGCTGGCCAGGAATCGAACTCTGGTGGGCCAGGTTCGAAGTGCAGCGTGCTAACCACTGTGCCACTTTGCTCCACACTACACACATCCTCCAGCATCTTCAATATGACAAAATCGTCATCATCACAATCCACGGAGAGATAGCTTGTAGGTGTCTGCTGCAGATCTCGTCATTTGTTTCCACTTTCCTCTGCCTTCTGCCAGTGTTGCTCAAGTAGGGCCACAACTTTCTGCCACCAATCTCTGTTTGTCATCAAGCCATTCGATGTGCGAGGTCTTCATCTCTTTCCGGTTCCTTCTATTTTTCCCGAACAACACACTTTTAATTGTCCTGTTGTTGTCCGTCCTCCATATGCGTCCAAATAGTGGCAGTATAAAACATAGCACTGCGTTACTCACAGTCATATACCCTGGAGCAGTGGCAACGTCGTTACTGCACTGTGCTATGAACCCATAAACCTGGGTAAGATTTCTGGCAACGACTAACTTCAATCATGAGTAACACGTGCTTCTGGTCCTGGGGCCTCCTCCTACCCCATGGTCCACTGACCGGTGTGGAGAAGTATGTTCAAAGAAACCCAATCACCGATACAGCGTGGGGAGGGCTCCATACAATGGGCTGAATATTCTTATTTTTTAAACGCATATACCCTTCAGCTAATATTAGATGAGCAATTAATCATGGTATGAGAAAATAATATAATACTATATCTCACGCATGAGGCCAGAAATACATCAAACACACTACTTACAGAGGATTAAATTATCTCACCGTCATATATATATAATGCCTCTATGAAAATCAAAGTTGGGCAGCTCCAGTTTGTAATCTAAACATGCGCGTTGCTCATAAGCTGCTCAACGAAGGTGCATCCGGAATGAATGGTGCAATATACTTTAAACATGCGCATGTGCGATGGGAGAATCGTTTTCATTAATTTGCATTACACTGCAGCCTGGATTCTATTGTGTCCCTGTTGTCTTGTTAGGCTGGCGATGATGTATTGCGTGTCGTATGTCCGTGAACGATGTGTGTGACCGTGCGTGTGTGAGCGGTAGTGTCGCGGCTAGAGCGCTGCGCTATGAACCAGGCGACCCGGGTTCGATTCCCGCTCATGGCCAACACCGGTGACGATTATTTGAACCGGTCCTGGGCCTCCCCTCGGTCGACTCAACCTCAAATGAGTACCTGGTACGGTGTGTAAACATCGCCTCTGGGGAGACAAAGGCGTTCGGGCGCGGTGCTGGCCACCCCCTCGTGTACCGTTCCGGCCTTCATAGGTGCTTGCTAACAGCACTTACCCCTACGGTCTGTTAAGGCTATACGGGGGATCTTTATCTTTGTCTTTGTGAGAGCGAAACGCGACCGTGTCTACCCATGCCCACGACGCCTTTTGTCGAACAACTCAATAATCGTTCGTATTTGTCGCTGGTGGCGCCGTGGTTAGCGCACCGCGCAATGACCGCGGCGGTCCCGAGTTCGTTTTTTTTTCTCTTTCCGCCGCACGTTATCTCCAGTGACAAGTGATGTTTCACCACAGCCCTTTGGACGGGCGACCCCCCCCCCCCCCCTTGCTCCCCTTGTCTACTCCGCAGCCGAGCCTTGCTCCCTGTCGCGGGGGGTCGCAGCGAGCGAGCGGAGATCGTGGACGCGCGACCCAACACGGCGGTGCGTCAGATCGCGGGCGCCCTGAAATCACCGCAAACATCTCCGCGGCTCCCACCGCGCTGTCGAGCATCGCCCCCCCCCCCCCCACGTTTGCCGAACAGCGGCATCACCGTCGGGGATCTGACGAGGCCTCGTCAAACGCTGAGCTGACGATTCATCACGAACTCGGTCCCCCCTCCCGCCCCACAACACCCTTTCTGGTCAGTGATTCAAAACTCCGGCCACAGCGTTGCGCCTTGTGGAGAGATGGCGAACGGAACGGAGGGGAGCACGAGTGGACCGACAAAGACCGCATCTGTGACCCAACAGAACCCCCCCCCCCTTCCCTGGTGTCTCCTTCTCTTGCCCCCCCCCCCCCTTATTAAACTCTGGACCACGGTAAAATCTGCGACTGCGCGGGCGGAACGAACGGTGGAGCATGCGGTCACCCGGGGCCGTGGCACCAAAAACCAGCGGCACTGAACGGCCAAAGATCCCAGACATCGATTTATAGCATGTGTTTGCTGTTCCATAAATCAGTTGCTTGTCACCGCAACACGCCGCGCGAAGGAAGACGGTGACATCTGGACTAGTGCCGTGTGATCGCTCGACCTCTTCACCAATGCACACTGATCAGCATGGTGAAGTATGGTCAAGTAGGCCCCATCACCGACACTGCGTGGGGAGACCTTCATCCAGCAGTCGATTAACAAAGGACTGTTAATAACAATTAAATATTTTCTTTAAAAACATAGCAATAAAAAAAGTCCAATGTCTTATTACCAACATCCTGCCAATAATCTACAACTGTTTGTAGAGGAGCATAAAAGAATAAAATCTCTACAAAGCCCAAGCAAACATGTTTGCAGTCCTTATAAAAGGTTTCAGAATATATGGAGGGGCACATTCTTGAGAAGTCAGCAAGCGGCAGTAAAAGGAGCAACAGGCGCCCCTGCACTTTGGAATCTTTCTATCGCACTGAACTATGCTGTAGTTGCCTTCCTTATCGCTGCAGACAACATTGAGAATTCACCGACCTTCTCGTGCACGATAAAAGACGCAATATTTTTTTTAATCTCAAACCGTCTTCTCACAATAATGTAGATATGGATGTTCTACAAAGTAATATTTGTGATTTGGTAGTTTAGTTTTTTTTTCAACGTACTAACTCACTCGACGGGACAGTGAGAGGAGACACTGCAAAGTCTTAAAAAATGGGGAGCACGGAAGCTCTGGTTGTTTTGAGCCTGCCATGTAAACTACATCACCTGATGTAGTTTCCATGGTAAGGCCCACTGAACTATATATAAATAGCTCTTTTTCAGAGGCGACATGGCCACACATGATAGCGTAACAAAGTGGGGTTATCGTTTGGAAATTTGGAGCAGCCAAGTACTTTTAAGGAAGGCAAAGGGGACGCCACCTCAGTCATGCGTCCTTCCCTGGTTGTGGCCGAATAACCTACGCATGGGAAGAGCTTGAGCCATGGACCTTCCCTTGGGCAGATCACTTTTTAGACAGGAAGCCACAGTGACACACTTCCTGACTTGTGCAAATAGGGGCGTCACGGTGGTGAGATATCAACTACCTCGCCTGGTATGCAGGAGGTCGTGGGTTCTATCCCAACTGACGCCTGCTGTGTATTTGGAGTTTGCATGTTCTTTCTACCTGTGGTTGCGTGGATTTTTCTTCACGTCCTCCAATGTTTCCCCTCCCCATTTAGAATCAACGTGCGTTTACATGATTTGGCTGCTATACATTTCCAAATGATGCTAAGCCACTTCGTTGAGCCTTACCTGGTAAAATTAAATGTATATACATTTTAAATCAAGTTTTGTTGAGGTGGCCCATCTGCGCTTTACGACCTTCGCCAACCTGCGCTGATCATCTTGGCGATGGGGCGTGAGGCGGGACAATCCCCACGGGCCACACGGCGTGAGGGGAGGCCCTCTCATGCACAACTCTGGTCAACACACCTTTTCTGGCACAAGGTATTCCAACGGTTTTAAGGTAATTTTGGGGTGCCGATTCCAAATCTGGCATCAGTTTTTGTCTATCACATCAGGAGGTTTTTGAGATATCAAATATTGCATTTTCAATAAAAACTGCAGAGGAAAAATATTAAATAATTGTGGATATCTACGTAAATAATATTATAAACACACTATCCTAAAAATACAGCACCATATTTTAACACTAAAGCAGTCACTGACTCGCAACAACTTGCAATC